CGTTATTTGTTAATATGCGAATAGTAGGTGATCGAATTATGTGCTTCGATGTGATACGCATTTAACCTGTCTTTTGACGCTTTGAAGATAGAATGAAAAACTTTGCCTTATGTAATAACATCGTTCGTATGTATCGATCAAAGAGACACAGTTGCTAAAGATAAGTAACTGAACTGGAGCTGAAGATCTATCTCACTGTGTCATAAATCGTGTCATCGAACACAGCATAAAATAATAATCAACCCCCCACCCACCCACCTCAGTTTCATCGACTTTGAAAAGACCTTCGACAGTGAAGTAATTTGGAAACTACTTTGACACTATGGAGTGACACCTTCTCTATGGCTCTGAAACATGGCCGATACGAGTTGAAGACGACATGAAAACGTTGACTGTTTTTGACCACAGATGTTTACGATCTCTTTCCCACGTTAGGTGGTGGTATAGTAAGGTAAGTAATGTTGACGTTAGGCGTAGAGTGTTGGGCAAAGAGGGAAAATCAATCGAAGAGGCTATAAAGTTACATAGATTGAGATGGCTAGGTCACGTGCTGAGCATGCCTAACCATCGCCTCCCCCACCCCGACGGACGGGCATTACTAGCTGATATAGGTGCAGGTTGGAAGTAAGAAAGAGTAAGTGGTGGCCAAACAAAAAGATGGCCTCATCAATCCATGAAATCTCTGACAGTTAAACTGAGTCAGTCAGGTAGGGAGGGAGGGAGATGCAGACTTCCGGGTTGGGGCCCGCCCTCGGGACTCTAAGAATCAATGGCTGGAGACAATAGGTGACATGGCTGAAAATCGTTGTCCATGGCTTACGAAGATGTATTCAGTCTCTGTAATCTTTCATATTCCTTTCTACCATTACTCATTCATTGTTTCACTCTTATACATGTCAAAACTCTATTGATTCTCTTCACTCATCTTCTTGTCTACCTTTGTGTGCTATTTGGCAACTGGAACTGCTGCACTTCTGTGCCAAGTTCTATGTTGAATCCAGCCAGCCAGGATTAAGTCGACAACTTTCAGTCAACCCTTAACGAGAAGTCCTGTCCACTCATCAAACTGCTCAGTCTCCACATCAGATTTCATTGCATCAGAATCTCAAGAGATCCAATCCAAGTACATGCATGAGATATATAGTGAAAAAAAAAGTTTCCTGACCCATCAGTTTGTGAGGATTCAGCCAGATATCATTACCATGCGTCATATATGACCTCGTAAAATCGCTGTCACTGTTGTCGTCAAAAGATAGGGCCAACAGCCAAATATCTACATTTTTCTTTCTCATCATATCGCTCCCGAACACAATAGCTAATATCATGACTTTCTGGTGAGGGCTTGTATATCGCAATGAGCTGCAATAGCTGACATGAAACCTCCTGCGATTTCTACCATGGCAAGTTGGCTTCGGTAACTGTTAGACTAAAAGCAAAAACCATCATAATGTGAATCATCTGCACGATTTTCGAGGGTTTGGGGGGGTCTGAGGTAGAAGTTCTACACTGTTGACGAATAAAAGTGCAACAGCAGTAAGATGTTTCCATCAAATGGCTAGCAAGCCACCTATGCCGCTTCCCCCCCCCCCCCGCTCTACATCATAGGAGGGTTTAAAATATTGACCCAAAAATCTGTACATCCCGACATATCATGCAGCGATCCGTAGACGGTTGTATGGTGTTCAAACGAACACAACTCCAAAAACTGCTTCATATTAACCTGCGTGTGATCGGCCTCTCCTGGACTCCGTTGGTCACGTGACACTCATTTTCTGGGGATACTTTAAGAAGACTCAGCTTCCATGACTGGGGTAGCCAGGAAGTAACAACAACCGCCTACACACTTTCATAAGCATAAAAAGTTCTCGTTTTATCAATCATATCACCAGAAACCTTGTCTTCCAAATTGCATTGTAGAGGTGGCTATCTAACTCATCATTTTACACTAATAACTACAAACTAGACACCGTTGTGTCTCTTGGCAGTCGAGTCATATCATAAGCTTTCTAAAAAACAAAGTACAGTTCATTTCGTTTGTGTGTTTTCGACATAGAACTTTGCACATATGTACGGAAGTTGAAGTCGACACACTCCCTCCTTGTAGCACACAAAGCAAGAGAAGAAACTAGGAGAAATGCATATTAGAGAGAGACAGTAAACAGAGGTGTGAGACAAAGGAATAGTAATAACGAAGAACAAAACAGTTTCGTTGGAAATCATAAGTCAGTCACAAGGAGTGGATGCATCTGCACCATTGAGAACGATCCCTTTGAGCCGTGTCACCAATTGTTTCCAACCATTGGTTTTACCGTCCCGAGGACCCCAACAAGTCAGGAAGTCTACACATTCCTACGTGGCCTGGTTTGACTAACTGTTGTAGATTTCATTGACTGGTGAAGCCATGTTTTCGTTTGACCGCCACTGGCTAGCTCTTTTCCAGCCTGACCAATCCTATATCAGCTAACATTGCCCATTGCCGAGGAAGGCGATTACTAGGCAGGCATACGTGACACATGTCCTAACCATCTCAATCGATGTAATTTCACAGTCTCGTCGATTGATTTCCCATTCCTCCTTACCAACTAGCACTCGACCGATGGCCTAACGTCAATATTGCTCACCTTATTATACCACTTCACACGGGAGATAGAACGCAGGCACCTATGATCAAAGACATCTAGCCGGTCTTTTCATGTCTTCTGCTCTCAATAGCCAGGTCTCACAGCCAGCCATAAAGGAGGACGGAGCGGACTGACGAGCAGTACACCCACCCTTTGGTCGATAGCCAGTCGGATATCACGTCTACGCCAGAGACGGCATAAACTGGCATATGCGAAACTAGCCCTCTGTATTCGTGCTGAGATTTCGTCAGAGATCAACCCGTTGGCATTGGCTGATGGTACTTCCCAAGTAAGTGAAGCGTTCAATGTGCTCTACCACTTCACTTCCTATTTCTAAACTAGGAGTCGGTGTAGTCCAATCCTGTCGGTCGGTCGGTTTTCGACATAGAACTTTGCACATATGTGCGACAGTTCAAGTCGCCACAATCTATGTAGCACGCAAAGCAAGAGAAGGAAGTAGAAGAAATGCATAATATAGACAGTAAACAGAGGTGTGAGACAAAGGAATAGTAATAACGGAGAACAAAACAGTTTCATTGGAAATCATAAGTCAGTCACAAGGAGTGGATGCATCTGCGCCACTGAGAACGATTTTGAGCCATGTCACCAATTGTTTCCAACCATTGGTTTTTACCATCCCGAGGACCCCAACCAGGAAGTCTACATCTTCCTACGTGGCTTAGATTAACTGTTGTGGATTTCATTGATTGGTGCCATGTTTTGGTTTGACCGCCGCTAGCTCTTTTCCAGCCTGACCCTATATCAGCTAACATTGCCCGTCGAGGAAGGCGATGACTAGGCATACGTAGCACATGTCCTAACCATCTCAGTCGAAGTAATTTCACAGTCTCGTCGATTGATTTCCCCGCCTTACCTAGCACTCGACGCCTAACCTCAATATTGCTCACCTTATTATACCACTTCACACGGGAGATAGAACGCAGACACCTATGGTCGAACACAGATAATCTTTTCATGTCGTCTGCTCTCAATGGCCAGGTCTCACAGCCATAAAGGAGGACGGAGCGGACTGTTGAGCAGTACACACGCCCTTTGGTCGATAGCCAGTCGGATATCACGTCTACGCCAGAGACGGCATAAACTGGCATATGCGAAACTAGCCCTCTGTATTCGTGCTGAGATTTCGTCAGAGATCAACCCGTTGGCATTGGCTGATGGTACTTCCCGAGTAAGTGAAGCGTTCAATATGCTCTACCACTTCACTTCCTATTTCTAATCTAGGGGTTGATGAAGTCCAATCCTGCAGCATCATCTTACATTTTATAGGGGCGAATCGCATGCCAAACATGCGGAGATTGTTGCTCAGGGTGTTCAGTAGACTCTGCATTTTGTCAGAGTCCTCGCCTAGAAGGACTATATCGTCCGCATATTCTAAGTCAACGAGATTCTTCCCTGGTAGCAAGTCAATCCCTGAGTCGCTGAAGTGAGTTAGGGTTAAGTCCATTAGTACATCTATGATGAAATTGAATAGGAATGGGGATAATGGGCATCCTTGACGGACGCCACTAGTCGTCACCACTTCAGGTGACAACTCGCCATAAGCCCTCACCTGGCTGCATGAGTACGAGTAGAGTGCCTTAATCAGTGCAATGTATTTTCTTGGCATTCCCTTTACAGCCAAGCATCGCCAGAGAACCTCCCGGTCGACAGAATCGAATGCCGCCTTTAGGTCAAGAAATATAATGATTGTCGGACGCCGGTAGGAATGCCTATGTTCTAGAATCTGTCGAAGGGTGAAGATGTGATCAATACACCCTCTACCTGGCCTAAAACCTGCCTGGTTTTCTCGTGTTTGTGACTCCCGAGCACCACTTAATCTACGCAGTATTATTGAGCCTAGGATTTTAGATACTATATTAGTCAAACTAATCCCTCTGTGATTATCACAAGACGACTTGTCCCCCTTCTTGTATATCGGGATGATCAGTGACTTACACCAACCCGATGGGACAACGTCCAATCCTGTAACACCATCTTACATTTTACAGGGGCGAATCGCATGCCAAACATACGAAGATTGCTGCTCAATGTGTTCAGAAGACTCTGGTTCATGTCGCAGCAACACACACACACACATGCGCAGAAGGACTACAGTTTAGAATCATATATACCCTTATATTGTAATTACAAATAACCATTATGATATTTATAATAATAATAAAGAATACAGTGTAATAATAGGGAAAAATCAAGTAGTAGTCAGACAATGCATAAGCGCACAGGTATTATCGAAGGAAAACAAAAAAGAAGATTACAAATAATATTATGCTATGGGGTTTTCAAATTGTCTGAGAAACAGACAATTTTGTAACACACTGTTAAATAAATAAGATGGACATTGTTATGTTGATAATGAGTTTAATTACGGAATTTTCGTCCCTCATTTACTCCGAATAAAATTTCTCGTAATTTTGGCATTAAACGTTCACTAATCTGATCTAACCGACTCTCCAATGTGTTCACCACCTTAATACGTCCATCTTTATTGTACAATTCAACTCCACCAGCTCTGTAGAAAAATATTTTTAAAAAAAAACACGTATAGAGAGATTATGTGATTAATAATCAACTCAACAAAAAAAGTCACGAAGACGCTAACATTGCATTGATAATTACAATTACACAAAGATGATAGATATATAAGCTCCGTATATATCTATTAACGCACGCAGCTTAGAGCATAAGCACAAGTTAATGATAATTACATATGTAACGACAGAAGGCAAGAGTCAAGCAACAGATCATTTATTAAGGAAATCAACGCATATTTATATATTTTCATGTACATTACTATGAATATTTAAGCAAACAAACACAGTCTTCCGATTGGTTGTTTCTCACGTAAAGTTAATCTTTCATCTCTTTGTGACTGTTTCTTGAATGTCAAGTCCTCTATATGTTAACTGCATCCGCCTACGCAAAGTCTGCTGTGGTCGGTTTTGAATCAATCTTTGTTCACATTTTCTCACGACAAATCTTGGGAACGTAAATATTGACGTAAATTACTGTCTACCAATTTGGCTAGTAGACAGCTCTCACCACACATAGACCGCAACAACTGAAGAATTTTACGAAACGCATATGTACACTACTGTACTTCTCGCTTGCATAGACGTGATATCCGACTATCGACCATAGGGCGTGTGCACTGCTCATCAGTCCGCTCCGTCCTCCTTTATGGCTGGCTGTGAGACCTGGCCATTGAGAGCGGAAGACATGAAAAGACCGGCTAGCTGTCTTTGATCATAGGTGTCTGCGTTCTATCTCCCGTGTGTGTGAAGTGGTATAATAAGGTGAGCAATATTGAGGTTAGGCCATCGGTCGAGTGCTAGTTGGTAAGGAGGAATTGGAAATCAATCGACGAGGCTGTGAAATTACATCGACTGAGATGGTTAGGACATGTGTTACGCACGCATGCCTAGTCATCGCCTTCCTCGACAATGGGCAATGTTAGCTGATATAGGATGGGTCAGGCTGGAAAAGAGCTAGCCAGTGGTGGTCAAACCAAACCATGGCTTCATCAGTCAATAAAATCTATAACAGTTAGTCTCAGCCAGCCACGTAGGAAGGTGTAGACTTCCTGACTGGTTGAGGGGGGGGTCCTCGGGACGGTAAAACCCAATGAAGGTTGGAAACAATTGGTGACATGGCTAGCTCAAAATCGTTCTCAATGGCTGGCCGGTGCAGATGCATCCACTCCTTGTGACTGACTTATGATTTCCAATGAAACTGTTTTGTTCTTCGTTGTTAATATTCCTTTGTCTCATACCTCTGTTTACTGTCTCTCTCTAATATGCATTTCTCCTACTTTCTTCTTTTCTGGCTTTGTGTGCTACATGGAGGGAGTGTGGCGACTGGAACTTCCGCACATATGTGCAAAGTTCTATGTCGAAAACAGACAGATAGTATTTCTCGCTTGCTAGTTCGGACTGATGAGGATAAGCTTTTAAAGGGATTTGAAGAATAAATACACTTCAGAAGCCATGACCTATTTTCATACCACTGTCAGTTAACAACTGGAAGATGGGTGGACAAGCTAGAATATTTATTGAAGAGTAGGACTCAGCGACAACTGATGATATGGCTCTGAATCGTACTCAATGCATGGTGCAGAGACATTCACTCTTTGTGATCTGCTATATTTTTTTACGAGTTGATCACGAATTGATATCAGTTAGAGAACCATTGAAAACCAGCAAGGAGTACTGGACAGCTGCTGTTTCATCCTAGTTTGGGAATCATCGGCAGTACGCACCCACTTTCCAGTACTCTCTGGTTTTCAATGGTTCTCTAACTGATATCAATCCGTGATCAACTCGTAAAACATAACTAACCCTTACAAACCAAACTACAGAAAATTAATGTGATGCTCGCTAGTGACTTGCTACAGGATGGAGTTTCCTGGAGTTCTAGTGAGAAGCCGTGACCAGTGAGGTCCAATTAGATGTCACGTGTGTGGATGGATATCCAACCAACGACAATGGTTGGGGTCGCGCTAAATCACGAATTGGTAGAAGTTAGAATTCATTGTTGGCCATTGAATCGGATCCCAATGACTGAATGGTATACGAGCTTGCCTTGTATCCGGAAGGTCCTGCGTTCGAATCCTAGGTGGTGGGTGCGTACTACTGATGATTCCCAAACTAGGATGAGACAGCAGCTGTCCAGTACTCCCTGGTTTCCAATGGTTCTCTAACTGATATCAATCCGTGATCAACTCGTAAAAACATAACTAACCATTACAAACCAAGCTATAGAAGATCTGCTATATCTTATAAAAACCTACTGTTTTTCTATGTTGTCATCTTTTCCCCCCTCAAATTTATGCTTATTATTGTTCTTTAAGATCTGCTTCTCCTCTTTTGTCTTTCTTTGTGGGATATATATGAAGTGTGGCAACTCAAACTGCTGCACTTCTGTGCAGAGTCCTGTGTTGAAACCAGACACACTCAGGGCTCAAGTGGATATTGCAGAATAAAAAATTGCATAATAGAAGTTTTCAAGTGTCGGTTTGCAGCGATTCGCTTGATTACAGAGGTTTGATGACGAGATGATATAAGTTAGAGGACCAATGAAAACCTAGGAGTACTGGGTAGCTGCTTCGTCCTAGTATGGGACTCTTCAGTAGTACGCATCCACCAGGGTTAGAACAATGGACTTTCTTGTTGCAGTGCTAACTTTTAGACCATTCTCGACCGCTGAGACCCGATCTGATAGCCCATGAATTCTAACTTCTGTCAATTCGCGATATATATAGTAACTTGATCACGTTTCCTCGCACTATTCTAGACTGCCAAGTATTGAGAGTCAGTTTAGCGTGTGATTTGAATTCTTATTGAATGTGTGTTGACGAAATTCGCTTCCAGGAGTGGACTAGAACCATATTGAGTAACTTTAATTCCACTTTATGTGAAAAAAACTTATGAGCAATTTAATGTTGTAAGAAGTGGTCGTGAAATCCCCAATCATATAGCATATAAACAAACTGTATTTTTAAGAAAGCCATAGCAAGGAAGTTTGAACCGTTTAGATTAATACGTAAATGAACAAATCACTTAGCGGAATTTTTGACATTCAACTTTAGGGATTATCTCAGGACGGATTTCTCATGTTCCTATCTAATACTGTGGTGAGAGCTGTCTGCTAGCCAAATTGGTAGACAGTAATTTACGTCAATGTTTACGTTCTCAAGATTTGTCGTGAGAAAATATGAACAAAGATTGATTCAAAACCGACCACAGCAGACTTTGCGTAGGCGGATACAGTTAACATATAGATGATCTGACATTCAAGAAACAGTCACAAAGAGATGAAAGATTAACTTTAAGTGAGAAACAACTAATCAGAAGACTGTGTTTGTTTGCTTAACTAAACTATAATGATGTATATGAAAACATATAAATATGCTTTGATTTCCTTAATAAACGATCTGTTGCCTGGCCCTTGTCTTCTGTTATTACAATACGAGCTAAATAGATTGTGTGAAGGCTGGCGACACTATTACCGAGTTTGCCCAGGTGGGATTCCAGCGTAAGCCCGATCGACTGAAAGTCGAGTTTTATTAAGCTAATGAACTACATCTCCACTTTGACCACCAAACATACCTACAGTGGAATCACCAATCCCACCAAACAGAAATACATACGTACGCACATTGAGAGAGAGAGAGAGAGTAAAAAAAAATGTGTTGGTTACTTACAGGCTATCAGGTAAATAATTGTTGTCTATTACAACTTTGCAATCACTTCCAGTTTCTTTTCGATAGGAAGCAATACATCCTGGTAGAAGACTCTGTGAAAATACAACCAAAAACAGGTATCTATATTTTAATTTTCCTAAGTGATGTAAAAAAAATAACATTTAAACTAAGTATTGAAAATTATTGATATAAGTATAAAACTTGGGCACTGTGGGAGAGTATAACTCCATCATGGATAGGATTTTATTTTGATAGATCACACAGTGTTGTATAGTAATATTAAATGATGACGTTTCGAGCATAAACTATTGCTCACACTTCTTTCCTTCATTTATATACATGTGTGAAATTGACTAGATATTGGAATAAAATTCAATATAATGTACATTCAGAAATAATAATACGAGTGTTATTGATCAATTACAATTAGATGGGAAATAAAACGAGTGTTTCTATAGTCATAATAAGTAACTTGTTAGAATGTTTTGATGTGTTTGAATTGAAATAGAATTTTGAGATTATTTATTATCCTCTTCTGATTTGCCTGACTGGTGGTAATAATATCTTCCATATTTCTGGTATTTGCATTGAGTCATTTCTGTTGCATGTGTTGGGTGAAGACTCGATGAGCAAGGATTCCGTAATCAACCTCTCTCTCCACCCTATTGTGTGGTTGTTTGTTAATGCGTGAAGTGCGATTGCTGAGCTTTTTTCTAAATTACTTATCTTTTCAGGGTCAACCATTCTTACCTTAGCTAAATTCTTATGTTCTGATAATCTGAGTACCCCCGACCTACTAGTCTGACCTAGGTAATTGACTTCACAGTGATCTATCAAAATAAAACCCTGCAATGACTGTGAAGTAAATTACATAGGTCAGACTAGTAGATCAACAGCTAAAAAAAGTTAGTGAGGTGGAACTGAGATACATCTGAACACTCAACAAGTTTATTATCACGAAAATAAAAGGCTCGGAACTACTATGTTTCTTAACTAGAAAGCGAGATAAAACTACATCAATAAGGTGTTTTTTGAGTGTGGAAGCAGTTTTAGGAAAGTATATTTGTATTCATCAAGATACTTTAAGTCAAGTCCATGGATCTGTGTAAGAGTTTACAGAGATATACTAACAGAAGTGACCACAGCTGGTTGTTTGCGTCAGGAACAGTCATCATAATGGATAAGATTTTATTTTGATAAATCACACAGTGTTGTACAGTTATATTAACTGATGACGTTCCGAGCACAAATTATCGTTGCTCATAATCATATCCGTTAACTGTTAAGGCAGGCTTAGTGAAGTGTCTAACAAACCGAGCCATAGCACTAAGTAGCACAAAAAAGACCTAAATGACGAAATAAAACAGATAGAAGAAGAAGCGTTGGTGTTGAATAACTATCCTATAAAATTCATTAAGAAGATCAGTAAAGGCCAAAAACAAAATAAAAATAATTGTGTACCTAGTAATGATAACATAAATAGGAGAGAATATAAGTCATCTACAGTTATACCATATGAAGAGGGGACATCTGAGACCCTACGTAGGATTCTTAATAAAGCAGGAATTAGGGTGGCATTCAAACTACAAACTCACTCAGAGACAAGCTTTGTAGGTTGAAAGACCCGGTGGACCCAATTAAACAAAATAATATAATTTACAAAATACCCTGCAATGACTGTGAAGTCAACTATATAGGTCAAACTAGTAGGTCAGGGATAGTCAGATTATCAGAACATAAGAATTTAGCTAAGGTAAGAATGGTTGACCCTGAAAAGATAAGTAATTTAGAAAAAAGCTCAGCAATTGCACTTCACGCATTAACAAACAACCACACAATAGAGTGGGAGAGGGTTAAAATTCTAAAAAGTAATCTAGGTAGGTGGAGAGAGAGGTTGATTACTGAATCCTTGTTCATCGAGTCTACACCCAACACATACAACAGAAATGACTCAATGCAAATACCAGAAATATGGAAGATATTATTACCACCAGTCAGGCAAATCAGAAGAGGATAATAAATAATCTCAAAATTCTATTTCAATTCAAACACATCAAAACATTCTAACAAGTTACTTATTATGACTATAAAAACACTCGTTTTATTTCCCATCTAATTGTAATTGATCAATAACAGTCGTATTATTATTTCTGAATGTACATTATCTCATATTGAATTTTATTCCAATATCTAATTGATTCCACACATGTATATAAATGAAGGAAAGAAGTTGTGTGAGTAACTTGATATGATTATGAGCAGCAATAGTTTGTGCTCGAAACGTTCTCATCAGTTAATATTACTGTACAACACTGTGTGATCTATCAAAATAAAATCTTATCCATAATGGAGTTATACTCTACCACAGTGCCCAAGTTTTATCCTGATATGAACAGTCATCAATTCGACCTTTTTTAAAATCTAATTCTCTAATACTCATGACTGTCTATTTGATGGCAACTTCTCATGGAATAATTTCCTAACAGGGTAGGCTGACGATATAGTCCCTGTGGGATGGAGTAGAGGCTAACGAAATACTCTTCTGAACACTGTAAGGAAAACTTCAAATACGCTTGGCATCCATTTTACCTCTGGCAAGATGTTACCTTATATCAGAAACTTGAAGGGAATCAGGTTCAGCCACTTGCCAATTTCGTAAGTAATATTGGCATTACGCAGGCTGTTGAAGAAGACAATAGATGAAGTTGTCAAGTGGCTGACAAAAAACAGGTTTATACGCCATCTGATCCTTCCAGACTCTGAATCCAACACATGTTTAGAATCAGGGTTTCTCAGCTCCCCTGGGTAGACCAGTCCGCTTGCAAGCCCCAGATGTACACATGCGTCATTTGACCTTTGTGAGGCGCACCCCACAGCGTGAAGGTGGTGAACAGAACTATCCTAGCGAAGATTACGGACGAGTAGCCACACCGCAGTGTTTCGAGAGGAGGATGGAAGTCTACCCACCCTCGGTCGCACCAGGTCGTCTATGGGGGCCTTTAGTTACTTGAAAATTTTGGTAGTTGTAAAATTCATGAAAACAAGATCGCTATAAATAGGTATATACATATATATATTGAGGTGAAGGTTGTAGGTAATGAAAAACAATGAGATCCCACTGCTAAATGTGTGCTGAAACAGCAAGTTCCGCTGTAGTAAGAAAAACATACCTGCGTAAGATCGCGATCCACTTGACGGCATCTTATTATGACTTCCGGTTCCAATAACTGATAAAGACCCTAGAAATAATTTGGATACAAAAACATTCTTTTATTAGGATGATGTATAATAGTTACGTGACTTGCTTCACTTTGGTTAAATGACTCAACAAACAGACTATAAATTATATGGAAAAACAACACCACAAGATGTCTTATATATTTCAGTAACCTACTTGCTGTTGTCATGTCATCCTTAAGCACAATTTGCTTAAACTTCGGTTTAGACAACAAATACTTGAAACGTAATAGTGAAATGCTCCCAAGAAACTTCTCTACTGAATCTACAATTCAATGGAGATTCTTCAGCAGAAATACTGAGAAACCGCCTGTGCCGTTCACTAAAGAAAACCTTCTTCGCAGCTGAACTCAGACTAACTTTCTCTACGAAACCAATGATTCGCACGAACGTGAAGGATAAGCTTCCACTGGGGGCCTCATCAATGTGCATTTACCAAATCACCTGCTCATGTGGAGCTAGGTATGTCGGCCGTATCCAGCGTTTGCTATCCAAACGAATCAGCGAACACTTACCTTCATGGTTTTATAAAGGAGAAAGAAGATCCCCCCACCACAGCTCTATCCTAGAACACTTGATCGAATCCGGACACCAAGCAAACCCACAAAACACAACTTCTCAGTTATCTACACAATACGTGGGAATCTTGCCAAAAGAGTACGAATTAAACTTCTTCAAACTGCAGAAGCAATGGCAATTCACATATTGAATGTTGAACTCTGCATACAAAAGAAGTTTGTTCAGTCACTAAATCTACAATGGTCCTGATCTATCTCAACACCAAATAGGTAATTTTGTCTTACCTCTTTCTTCTTTGTTTGTCTGTTTCTTAATTGCATTATTTTCTACCCCCACCCTCTATTAAATCTCTACCCTCATGACGACTGTTGCTAACTCCATTTTCGTTTATTTTTAAGTGAATTCTACTCAGATTATTAACTTGACTCTCATTCATTTTTCATTGAACCCTATCAATTAGATTACGCCACCCAACCTACTTTTGTAACTTTATTTTAGTTTCTAACCGATTAACGCCTTCTAAATTACGTAATTTGTTGTCAAAAAATTAACAATTGCATTAACACATCTTTGGAAATATCCCTTTTGTTGCCAAGAAGAATTACTATAAATTTGCGGTTTGTACAGCTTGAGAATGATATCGCCGAAAAGAGTAACTCTTTGCTGAACGCCTTTTCTTTAAATGTTAATGTGCTAGGTGGCATAATAAGGTGTGCAATATTGCAGTTAGGCATCGAGTGCTAGGTACGGAAGGGAAATCAATAGACGAGGTTGTTAACTTACACCGATTAAGGTGGTTAGGACATGTTTCACATATGCCTGTCCAGCCATCGCCTCCCTCGACCGACTGGGATAGGATGGATCAGGTTGGAAAAGAGTTAGGTAGTGGTAGTCAAACCAAAACATAGCTTCATCAGTCAATAAAATCCACAACAATTAGTTGAAGCCAGCCAGCCAGCCACGTAGGGAGGTGTAGACTTCCTGACTGGTTGGGGTCTTGAGGACAGTAGAAAACCAATGCAGGCTGCAGACAACTACTGGTGATATGGCTCAAAATTGTTCTCAACGGCGCAGATGCATTCACTCTTTGTGATCTGTCATACCTAATAAAACTCTACTGTTCTTCGATATTACTATTCTTTTTCTTCATACTTTTGTTTCTCTTTTTACTCTCTTCTCTTTTTTTGTGTGCTACATGGAGTGTGGCGACTCGAACTGCTGCACACCTGTGAAAAGTTCTACGTTGAACCCAATCAGTCAAAATGTTTATGAATACTCCACACATAGTGCCTTATAACTAATGCATAAGCACCTATCGCATTCTTACCCGTACGTCTCATTAAGCCAGCTTACTTCTTCTGCTCAAGTGTGCAGCTAAACTAGAAAATTTCAAACCACCGTGTGAATAAGCCTATATATAAATGATGTCACACAATTTACATCATTAAAAAAGCACTCTACTAGATGAATTCACTGATGCGTGGAAAGTTAGTGAATTCAGCTTGATTTACATAGGACATAAGTCCAAAAAAGTTAAACCTAATGATAGTACATGAAATGTTGTTACTTAAAAACCACTTCCAATTCTATACAGTTAGCAATGAGGCACATAGATTGTGGGAGGGATAGTGATACTGTCTAGCTGCCCAAACCTTGGTAGGTGGAGTGGGTTTCAAAACTGTGACCCACTGGTTGGAATTTGTACACCTAGACCAATGAGCCACAGCTCTACTCTACATAAAATGTTATGCCTGTATCGCACAACTGCAATATGCTATGCGTAGAGACCCATTAGTTAAAAGCAGTTGAAATGAATTAAATTCTAAACATGGTACTTTGCACAAAATTCCGGCAATCCAAATTTCATTAAATCAAACAAAGGTAGAAATAGGGCATACAATCAAACTAAAACGAACAAAAATGTACGCCAACAGGAATCATTAGTAGTGAATGCATACGCGATTTTGAACCGTGTACTAAAAATAACCACCTAGACAATTCACATCTGTCTACAACTCGAACCAACACTCAATGAATTCAATGATTGGTGCCACACCTTCGTCTGACTACCAAAGCTTTTTCAACCTAATCATATGAAGGCTAAGTGTAGAAAGATAATCCTCGCTTTCTCCCACAATAAATACAAATAATCATCGAGTATTTTTACTCGAGCAACTATCATGCGCAAGTGCACAGCGGTAGAATGCTCGCCAACCATGTAGGTGGTTCGGAGTTCGATCGCCGTTCAACCCATTCTTTTATCTCGCTCGCTAAGCCAATAATAAGACTGGTATAGAGGGAAGGTTGGGCATGAGCCTATGCAACCCCATCCCGTAAAAATAAATACCAATGCTACCGAAACTTGAGAGCTCTAGCTTGAAGCCGCATGTTTCGCTGGGAACATAAAGGAATGAAAAAAGTAAGCCAATCCAGCTGGATTATTACAATAATTTTGTGGAAAACATTACAAACTATCTACACAATATCCGCTAAGCTTTTACACGCAGTTCAAACAATGCCAGCACATTTATGGTTTTTTTAAATAAATATAAAGAGAAACTTGGGAATGAAATGGTTCACACTAACTACTAACCCTTATATATCCTCAGCAATAAGTTACAAATTTCGTGACATTTGGATAAGAGGATTAAGATTCCTGATTTAGATATTTAAGTGCGAATAAGGCGTTCAGGAGAGGGAAATTACGGAATTACATCATTTTATAGTTCCGCTATAACCGTAATACGAATAACACCGGCGAAAATGAAATGTTTAACCCAGAATCCCTTCCACCATGACAAGGTCACCTTAGACAGAAAAACTACGGGAGTCTGTATAATCACCGATAGTGTGTCGGTAGCGCAGTGGTTAGGACTCTCGCCGACCATGAACATAGTCCGGAGTTCGATTTCCTGGCGATGCACACCTGATATCTATGGTCGACCTGCAAAATTTGGGCTACCGATATCACATGCTGGAAATCCCATACTTGTACCAAAAATAGTGTGGAATCAAGCTATAATCAAAAAAATAAATAAATAAACACATATTTCTCAGGGTATAATGTACTGCAGAGGAATCCTGTTTCAGGTGAGAAAATAAAGACTAAGAGTGAGCAAATGTAAATAAGTGGATGTACCGAGCCTGAACCAAGTTTTGTATTCAAAATTAAGCATATACGATACATTCATACAAAAGGTTATTACTTCTGTAATTAATCCAGCAAGACATTTCTGATAAACACTTTGATCCTTGGTGACTGTTCGCAAACGCTCACGAGCTTCTTTGAGTAACATCTACAGATTGAATTAAAAGTAAACCAAATACCTCGATATGATTTTCTCTGCTCTGTAAAACCTTTAGTCTCGATTGATTTTTCAAGTTCGAATCTTGGCTGAATGGAAAAGTTACGGACAGAAAAATGAACCTACATTTTTTTAGTTAACTCAATTTGCTTCTCCTTTTTAGCATAGTACTCCATTATTTTAAGACGCTGATTTTGCACTAGGCGTGACTTTTCTATTTGGAATTCTTCTTCAGCCTTCAGAGAATTACAATAGAGGGGAAATAATCTAACCTTGGCATCTATTTCTTCAACTTTTTCTCGAGCCTCTTGGTCTATGAACGCCATCATGTGACGAATCTTTAATTTGAAATTAATATTATCTTAATGTATGTACCTGACGCTGAACTTCAGTGTCATTTAGCGTCATTTTTCAATCTTTTCAGTAGATTATGCAAAACTGATATCGAAACCAAATGAAATCTCGCGCCTTTTTACAACTACACCTTCAAGGCATACAAACTTGTTATACTTCTATTTTTTACATTTTTTATTATGTCTCTCTTCCGCTTAATAGGCTGTGACCCTAAATAGCCCAGCTTCCCTTAGTTTTCCTGAGGTTGCTAACCTTTATTACACAAAGCGCGCGCTTCGAAAAGTAGAGTGGCATTTTTACGTTGTGGAGTAACTTCTGTTTTTGTTGTGTAAATCGCATCAGAAGCCTTTTGGTCTAATCTAACTGGTTTAATTAGTTGAAGGTTGATTTTTGGGGGACTTTTGTGACTTTATGTGTGGTTTTCATGACTCTGTAATTAGTTTTATTTATACATAGTTGTCTGTGTAACATAAATAACTTATGCTGACATGAGTCTCACAAATAGTTGTGGACGACTGGACTGCCACTTTCCGGTGGGTGATGGTATGCAGTGTGATAAATGCAAACTACGGCTTCATAAAGTTTGCACTGGCTTATCACCATAAGCCTACAGTAGATGCAACAAGCCATCATCTCCATGGGTGTGCAAATTTCGTACTAACCGGTGAGACGTCGTCATGTGAGAGGTCGAAGGACTTCTCATGTCCGAGAAATTAACGAAAACCTCTGATGAGGGAAAAAGCCAGCTTCTAGTACCGATGTCATAAATGAGGATTCTGACCTGAATCATAAGACTGGGACTGAACCATATCCCCAAGCTTCGAAAGACGAAACAGAGGTAAAGTGTGCCCAGTAGTCTGTGACAGCACACACAACGTCCTGAAAATCTAAGAGGGCAGGCCGCCGGTTGATACTACAATTACGAAGCGTTGAGTGTCTGGTGAACGCACGGCTTCCAACTGAGGCGAGAGCAAGGTGGAACTAACTTGATTAGTACAGAAAAATAGGAAGCTGACGAATTAAAGAAAAGATGAAAGCACTGGGTTCAGTGATAAGGTCTCAACGGCAGTAAACACTAATAGGACTGTTAAACGTTCAGACTCAAATTGCACTTTAGTAATTTGGAACTTCGAGGGAACGAAGAAAGTAGATCCAGCTGCACGACATGCTGATGATCTTGAGGTTGTTAGCTCCATCATCCGTGAAATACTTCCTGAAAAAAACAAATGGTGTTCACACAGGAAAAGTCACCAAAATCGGTAAACGAAACGCCGATACAACGGAAAGGTCCCCGCGACTGCTGAAGGTAGTACTGGGGAACGAGATGGAGAAAAGTATTATTCTTGGCTATACCCAACGAACAACACTTTACCGGAGAACAGCTAAGGGCCTTCGAATATCTTAAAGACATATACAATAAATAAATAAATTTGTTCTCATAGTACAGTGCATGAGGGACGCCAGTTTACAGGCATCATGAAGTTGTTACAGAAATAGAACCATATAATTCAATTACAATTTACAGGCAGTAGCAAGATATGCCTTACATGTTCGCTGGGGATCATACATACACTTGATAAATGTTAATCCCAGTAGTATAAAACAGTCTTTTCACTTATATACAATCATTTCTGTGCACAGTTGGAAAAATCTGCTAGATTGTCAGTGAGTGCAACACATCAGGAAACATAGGAGTATGGTCTTCGCATTAACAAAAAAAACCAGGTCTTTGGTGGATGGATTATAAGTGCCTGGGAACAGGATAAAGCGTGAAGTCAATTTTCATAAATAACGAGATTTCTTGTCTGTTTGAGGATACGTATCTCAACCGTTAATGTTTTATCTAGAATTATAAATATAGGCAAAAGACAACAGGTGTAGTATTTAAGCTTATACATTAAATGGACCTATAATTTTGGAGGCTCTCAGATAGGAACTAGAACTATTTTGGTTTGCAAACTCTTGTAGTTTGTCATTAAGCACCTTTTTGAAGGAGGCCAATGTACTTGCTTGACGCATTTCCATTGGCAGTTTATTCCATATCTGTGCATACCTAATCAAGTAAAACTTTTGCCTGGTGGCTGTTTTACATTTTTCGATAGCTACTGTACCCTTAGTGTGTCTTAGTTTGTAGCCATTGTCATCTGAAAGTCGAGTGCCATTAGTAGAGGTAAAAACTAAGTGGTTTAGAAGCTTATAGTAAAGTGTCGAGTTTAGTCTCAGGCGTCTTAGCCATAGTGTTTCTAGTCCTGGGGTATCACATCTAGTGGAGTAGTTCGCACCATTTTCGGTTCCGAGTAATTTTAACGTGAAGTACTTCTGCACTCCCTCGACTTTCAATTTGTCCTCAATGCGTATACTACTATATATGAATGAACACTAATCAAATAAAGAACGCACACAAACCTTGTACAACAGAATTCTACACTCATTTCTGTAGAAGTTCCTGAGAAGAAAGCAGATAAGTCTGCGTGACTTTGACACTTGTTTGGAGATATGTTCGGAAAATGATAAGTTATGTGAATATTTCAGCCCTAGGTCCAGTACAGATTCCAGTCGTGTAAGTGCATGGCCTTGAACTGTCAGGTCAAGTTCTAAATTGTTGCAACCTATGCAGAGCCAGCCACATTTTTCGACATTAAATTAGAGTTGCCAGGTGTCACACCATCTATCCATTTTTTCTAATTCTTGCTGTATGGCGTTTACTGTTATTCCAAGATCTGTGTTTTTGCATTTATAGGTCACTTTTAAGTGATCTGCATATAGTCTTGGTTTACTTATACTAAAGCATTCACAGATACTGTTTATATATATTATGAATAAGAGTGGGCCTAATACACTTCCCTGGATCACACCACGACTTACTGGTTTAGGCCTTGAGATTATCGAGCCAGCTTTCATTGCCTGACTTCGGCCACAGAGAAATGATTTTATCCAACTCAGGAGAGGGTCACATATCCCTAGTGAGCATAACCTGCTGACTAGCAGATTATGGGGAACTCTGTCGAAGGCTTTTGTTATATCGAAATATAGCACAATTACTAGTTCTCTGTTGTCCTTACTTCGAGTAACTTCATTGAAAAAGTCTATGTGACAGGTCACACATGATCTCTTTTTGAGAAATCCGTGTTGTGATGGATTGATAAGTTCATGTTCTAGTAAGTTGTCTGACACATATGGCTGCGGAGAATAGAGGATGGCACTGTTGGCGTCCTGGTCCTCTTTGATGTTCCAGAGCACACTGGGTACTGGAACGACGATTCAGGGGAGAGAAACGACCGTTCGCAGTTAGAAATGATTTAGTCCGAATTATGTTAGGGCCAAAAAACGTGACAGGTCGGCAATTAATGTTTTACGCTGCCCTACCTCAGACAGCCTAGGAATAATGAGCAATTCTGTAAGGTTCCCCGAACTTGTTGACAACCACTTTGATGTGGAATAATCGTGGAAGCATGATCGTCCCAATCTGTCAGACAATTACAAAGTAATTAGTCATACACTTGAGTGTAACACACAAGAAAATTTCTTTCTAAAGAATATAGCCTACTGAACTGACTTAAAGACGTTACGGCACGGCAATTACCGAAAGGATACATAGTAGAGCTACTTGGGATTCTTTCTCATCATTGAAGAGTGCGTACGTTCAACGTTTGCGTTACATTGTGGTACGAATCTTTAAATATAATCAAATTTTGTTGCACGATTGTTACTCTAGTTCTATAATAATAATAATTTATATTTTCATATACACATAAATTTGCATGAAAATACATGCCATTTTTACAGGCACGATCAAGTATGATATAATGTCAAATAGTAGATTGTCTACAGGTTAATGTTTGAACAGCTAAATATTTGATAAATATATAAATACACATTTTGTCTGACCCATGTCGTATCATTATTGAATTAAACAGCAGTCCTCCAGGTTGCTCAGGAAAATCGACTTCACTTCGTTTTCAACCCGTAGCTGTAGGCATACGATAACCAACCAATATTGAGGTAAGTACAACGTTTACAAGGGGTAGTAAGCTGTTTTAGAAAAGTAAAGGTGCTAAGGTGAATCATTAAAGTGCAATGAAATAGGTGAGTGCAATGTATCATTAATAGATGCATTCATAAAGGAAATACAATGGGAGACCATAATCCCTAGGCTGACAAAGTTCATTTGCAATGAATACTGCTACCCATATAGGTCTTACTGTCATGATGTCCACTTTTGGTTTAATACAATTATCCACAAGCCGGCTGTTTTTATTTCATACATTTTTGTGTATTTGGTGCACAACCGTACCCTATAGAGAATAGGAATAGAATAAGTCGAATCAAATTCATAAAGAGCTATAAAATGTTAGGTTTAGTGGAATATAATGAGCAAGTGAAGACGTTATTAGAAAATGAATGAGATGAGACATTGTGAAGTGGCATTCAAAAATCCGACAAAGGAAAGCATGTTAATTTATAAGATGCCCCATAAATCTGTGCAGAGCCCACGTGGTCGCATCTCAGCAATAGGCTGACCGAATGGTATATGTTTAAAGGTAGAAGCATGATCTGTCCAGGCGATCATTATCTTTTTCAAGATAAAGATTCAAGCCCTCATAGAAATCTCGAGCCGTTAAATTGCATACTGCTGTTCCTGTAGAATGGTGCGATTCACTTTAGTGTCCACCACCATATCTACTGATCAGCATGCACCACCCTCCCTCCTTTTATGATGTTAGGCTCTGATTGTTATGGCTACAGCAAATATATTGCTTGATTCCAGACACGTTCGTACCTCACATTCCATTTGCCTAGCTTTCTTAGTGAGTGCTTCCAATAGATCTCCACATACAGATTTATGAACATATTATATATGTGTGCATGCGTCCAAATGAACAGATTAGTTTATAAGATGTTAAACCCTTAAAGAGTAAAAAGAATAGGTTTTGTGAATAGTGGGGGCGTTGATAAGGCATATCCCCTGTTTGAAGTGGCGCCTCCACCTTTACCTTGAGGACATTTGCGCGGTCTAGTTGATTTCAGTTTGGCTGATTTGTTTCGTTTGATCT